TTGATGCATTGAACACTAATGACTGAAGACCAGACTAGTTGTAGAATAACATCAAGGACATCATACACGAAGAAAGCAAGAGGTCATTAAAAAGACAGGAAAGAAAGTAAAGAACAAAATGTATGTCAGAAGAGACTCTGAAACTTCCTGTTGAATGTTGGGTAGCTAAAGCAAAAGGAAGAAATGATGAAGTAAAAGAACAGAACAGAAGATTTCAAAGGGTGGCTTGAGAAGACAAAGTAAAGTATTATAATGACATGTGTGAAGCCCTGGAGATAGAAAACCAAAAGGGAAGAACACGCTTGGCATTTCTCAAGCTGAAAGAAGTGAAGAAAAAATTCAAGCCTTGGGTTGCAATAGTGAAGGATTCTATGGGGGAAAATATTAAACGAAGCAGGAAGCATCAAAAGAAGATGGAAGGAATACAGAGTCACTATGCCAGAAAGAATGGGTTGGCATTCAACCATTTTAAGAGATAGCATAGGATCAGGAACTGATGGTACTGAAGGAAGATGTCCAAGCTGCACTGAAGACATTGGCGAAAAACAAGGCTCCAGGAATTGACAGAATATCAATTGAAATGTTTCAACAAATGGCTGCAGCCCTGAAAGTGCTCACTTGTCTATACCAAGAAATTTGGAAGGCAGCTACCTGGCCAACTGACTGGAAGAGATCCATATTTATGCCTATTCCCAAGAAAGGTGATCCAACTGAATGCAGAAATTATCAAACAATATCATTAATATCACACACAAGTAAAATTTTGCAGAAGATCGTTCAAAAGCAGCTGTAGCAGTGTATCGACAGGGAAGTGCCAGAAATTCAGGCCAGATTCATAAGAGGATGTGGAACCAGGGATATCATTGCTGATGTCAGATGGATACTGGCTGAAAGCAGAGAATACCAGAAAGATGTTTACCTGTGTTTTATTGTCTATGCAAAGACATTCAACTGTGTGGATCATAACAAATTATGGATAACGTTGAGAAGAATGGGAATTCCAGAACACTTAATTGTACTCATTAGGAACCTGTACATAGATCAAGAGGCAGTTGTTTGGACAGAACAAGAGGATACTGCATGGTTTAAAGTCAGGAAAGGTGTGCGTCAAGGTTGTATCCTTTCACCATACCTATTCAATTTGTATGCTAAGCAAATAATCTGACAAGATGGACTATATGAAGAAGAATGGGGCATCAGGATTGGAGGAAGACTCATTAACAACCTGTGTTATGCAGATGACACAACTTTGCTTGCTGAAAATAAACAGGACTTGAAGCACTTAGTGATGAAGATCAAAGACCGCAGCCTCCAGTATGGATTACACCTCAACATAAAGAAAACAAAAATCCTCACAACTGGATCGTAAGCAACATCATGATAAATGGAGAAAAGATCGAAGCTGTCAAGGATTTCATTTTACTTGGATCCACAATCAACACTCATGAAAGCAACAGTGAAGAAATCAAGAGAAGCATTGCATTGGGCATATCTGCTGCAAAAGACCTCTTTAAAGTGTTAAAAAGCAAAGACATCACTTTGTAGATGAAGGTGCATCCAACTTAAGCCATGATATTTTCAATTGCATCATATGCATTTGAAAGCTAGACAATGAATAAAGAAGACTGAAGAAGAATTGAAGCATTTGAATTGTGGTGTTGGCAAGGAATACTGAAGATACCAGGGACTGCCAAAAGAAAGAACAAATCTGTCTTGGAAGAAGTACAACCAGAATGCTCTTTAGAAGTAAGGATGGCAAGACTATGTCTTACGTACTTTGGACATGTTGTCAGGAGGGATCAGTCCCTGGAGAAGGGCATCACACTTGGTAAAGTAGAGGGTCAGTGAAAAAGAGGAAGACCCTCAGTGAGATGGATTGACACAATAGCTGCAACCATGGGCTCACGCATAACAACTGTTGTGGGCATGGCACAGGACCAGGACACAGGACCAGTGTTTCATTCTGTTGTACATATAGGGTTACTACGAGTTGGAATGGACTCGATGGCACCTAACAACAACACTGATTAGCCAACTTTTTAAGAGGAATTTATTGGCAGTCTATGCTGATTTGTAGGTTTTACTTGAAAGAGCAATTATTTTTCCCCCTGTAATTGGAAAGGCCCTCTTCTTTGACTCCATGTGCAGGTTTGGAATGAATGTACCCAGGGATCCTATCTAGGCACACAGGTCCATACCTCAGTCCATGGAATAAGTTCAGTCCTTGTCAGATTATCTTCATATCCTGTTAGTTTCTGCTTCTACCTTCTGGATATCGCAACGTAACTCTAATATGACCAAAATCCTCCATAAATAGGCGAAAGGTTAGAAAATACAACACCTTCCTAGCCCTTTCTCGTTGTGCACCATCCTTTGGTTATGAGAATGTACTTTCTACAGAAGCCATTAGAGTTTAAATCCTAGGGGAAATGAAATATTTTCCTATTAGAAATATATTCCAGTGCTTGTTAATTTTCTTTGGGGACATAGAAAATTTTGAGAATGTAATAAAAGCTATGGTAACTCAGTCTGGAAAAGTGGAAATTTAAAAACAATAACAAATAATATATTAGCAATTTAAGGGACTTCTAGAAAAACCCATCTATGAAATGACCTAGGTTATAAGCCTCTGATGTTGAGAAGCTTTGTATTTTCCCTATCTGACTTTCCAGCTCTTTAGAGAAAAGAAAAGATGTTCGACAGAGTTTAGATCAAGATCTTTCCTTGGTTTGAAATAGCAACTCTAATTTTAGCTATTGAGCTTATTTAATGAGTAAATGCTTAGAAGCTAGAAGCAACGGAATAAATAACACAAGAAGAACAAAAATTATACCTATAAAAATTCTCTTCTGTTTTTCAGAAAAGTTCATTTATTTAAAATAGTTTTTAAAAAATATCATCTTGATGTTTTTATTCAAAAGAAATCTTTATAGATTTATCAACTCTTATTATTGAGAGGTAAATAGTTTGGGTCATGTATTGTTAGAGAAGTTTTTAATATTTAAGCATGGGAATACATCATTTCCCAATAAAGTTAGGTATCCATTTATTTTTCAGTAAAATAACGCAAGAATTTAGAAGTGAGAGAAACTTCATTTTGTGCACTTCCACAACTACCATCAGTTACCCCCAGAACTGGATTATCTACATAACCTTAATGAACGGTATTTCTAATTCCACAGCTAGAAGGCAAGCCTCTATGTAGCTTCCTCAGGTTAGTGAGTAGAGCTTTTCTAGTTTTTATTTCACATATGGGACAATTCTTCAAGGCCCTAGGCTTTAGGCAAGAGAGAGAGAGAAAAAGAGAGAGAGATTTACTTCAAGAAATTGTCTTATGAGATTGTGGGGGACTGGCAAGTCCAAAATCTGTAGGTTAGGTGACAGACTGGAGACTCCTACAGGCTTGCTTACCAAGCTTTGTAGGTGAGAAGATGGGAAGAGTAAGGTGAGAGTTCTGCCAAAATATCCGTTTATAGGTGGGAGGCAGAAAACACCATAAGGAAATCCCTATTTACTCTTAAGACCTTCAATTGATTAATTGATTATATTAGATTAGATTACATTGTGGAATGTGATTACATTACATTAGAAGTAAGGTAATTACATTGTATTACATTAGATTGGAGTCTTCGGGTGCTGCGAATGGTTAATGAACTGGGCTACTAACCATAAGTTTGGAAATTCCCATTTACCCAGAGGCACCTTGGAAGAAAGACCTGGTGATCTAATTCTGAAAACTCAGTCATTGAAAATTCTATGGATTGCAGTTCTACTTTGACATACATGGGTCACCATAAGTAGGGATCAACTCAATGGCGACTGGTTTTCTTGATATTAGTTTAGTGTTTGTTCAAACAATTAGGAACCATAGTTAAGCCAAGCTGATACATAAAATTAACCATCACAAACACCATGGCTTCAGCTGTGACTGTTTGACTTCTTAATTTCCCTCTTCATTTCTTGACTTGTGTATTGATGGAATCTCATATACGTGTTTAATTAAAAAGAAAAATATTCAGCCTTTCTATGGATTTGAATGGAAGAGTAGAAGTCCTCCCATATCATCTTAGATAATCATATTGACTTGATGTTTTGCCTAGGAAACTTCTCAATCCCTCATGTAAATATGTACCTTCCCCTCCACATGCCCTCCAGTTTTTCAGACAAACTTGAATATATATCCTTATATGTGACTACAAATGGTCTAAATAGGAGACCTTGAGTGGTGCAAATGTTTAAGTGCTGGACTACTAACCGAAAGGTTGTCTGCTCAAACACACTAAGAGGTACCTCAGAAGAAAGGCCTGGCAACTTGCTTCCAAAAAGTTTCAGCCTTGAAAACCCTCTGGGGCAGTTCTATTCTGCACACATAGGCTTGCCATGAGTTGGAATCCACTGGACAGCAACTAACAACAACATGGTCTAATTTTAATAATTTACAGTATTCGTTCTAGTAGTAACAATTTTGCAATGCTTAGTATTTTTATGTTTCACGTATTAAATTAGGGGATCCTACATGAATACATATATATGACAGTGATTTGTACACTGCATAACACTATATTCATTTTCATCATTATTACTTATTACCACCAACATATGAGAATAATAAACTAAAACAGAAGACCATGAATATGAGTACTATTTTTCTTCATTCTTTAAACAAATAGTTACTGACTACTATAAGCCAAGTGCTATTCTAGGCCCTTATAAATAAATCAGTGAATAAAACAGAAGGTATAGTTCTTTAAGTTATTTTCTTTATGCTGGTGAAAAAAAAAATGAAAATTTTTTTCTTGCCTTGGGAAAGTAACATTGGGCAGAAGGAGCATGAAGGTATTCATGCAAAGACTGTTCAGAGCCTCTTCTTTCATTGATTTGGAGCCTGACCTACAATTATCTTTTTTTGTAGACTCTACTAGACTTTTCCCGCCACTATCTTTGCATTTTTATGTTGATGAATGGAAATGAAGTTTAAGTTGTCTTTGGTATTTTTTCAGCTTAAACAGTGGAATACTTTTGGGACCCTGGAAGTTTTACCTCAAGCTGCATCAGAAACACAGGCATACACAGTAGTAACAGAAGATGATTGTGAAATTCTTAAAATCCCTGCAAAGGAATATGCAAAGATAAAATCGGTATGACCATATCTATTCCATATATTAATATAATACGGGCAAAAAATTAAGCTAACTGTTGACTATCTAGAAAGAAGAGACCCTTATCTTTTTTATTTTTTTAAGTTTGATCTGACTTGGAGACCGTGAAAATGTGTTCTATTTGCTGATAATCACTTAAGCCTCTGCTGTCAGTGATAGTTGAGGTGGAGACAAAGATCTCTATGGATATATTTTATGTATATTTTTGAATGCCTTTTGGTTTTTCATGAATTTCGAAGTAATCAACTGATTTGTTCATTTATTTATTCAACAAGTATGTATTTTGAGTGTCTACAGCATGTCATGTACTAGGGATGCCACAGTGATCAGACGTAGTGGTCTGGTGCTCCTGCTCACCAAATCTCTATTGTCTACTGTAGGAGATAAAAGTACTTGGGAGTGATTGCTATTTTATAGTTACAACAGACCTACCTGAAAACTTAGAGCTGTATGAATGCGTGATCACAGATGAATTCTTGTCCCCTAATTCTGCTACTTTAAGATAACTTATTTATTTCAAATTTAATATTTTATTATCTTCTAGTCAAATCCAAAGTATTCCTTCTCTCCTGCTTCTCTTCCCTTGGACAGGAGAGGATGTTGGTGAAAATCATGTGATTGGGAAGCCCCAATGGTCCTTCTGTCTCAGCTCTTCTGATAGGGTCTACACCCTGGTGCAGGTGGTACAGGGTATTGGCATTAGCCATAGCTAGGTGCTCAAGTTGGAGCGAGATGGGAAATCATCTATCTTCTTGATTTAGGTCTCTGACAGTGGGGGTCTCTTTTGATAAGGTGGTCTCCATGTCAGTAGTGCGGATGACTTTTTCAGGTTTCATCTTCATTCCAAATCCCTGATGTTAATTTGTTTTGATTTTCAGTGTCTGGATTAAAAAAAAAAAAAAAAAAAAGTTTTGTATGTTTTGTTTTTAATTACAAAATCTCAGTACAACTTACTTGATGTTGTCCAATACCACTTTTGAGTTTAGTCTGTCAAGGACAGGATGTTTAAAAGTTGCTAAAACATTTATAGAAGTCTAAAAATTTTATGAAAGATGGGACAGTATAATTTTCACAAGCAGATACGAAGTTTAAAATTTCAACATGTAGTTATTGTTATACTACAATCAATTTGATTTAAATGTATTTTATACTAATTTACATTTATATCCTTTTTTTTGCTACCTTTTATTTATTTGCTATATTTTCTTTCTTTCTTTTTTTATTACCTAGCATCTAAAATTTGGTAATGACATTGTTTTTTCAGGAAACATTAAAACTTGAAAATATGCGAAAAGAGCAGTTAATTCGAAAGTGTCCATATTATGTGGAGTGGCCTACTTTATCCATATATGAGCTAATCGCACTCATTAAATGGAAAAAATTCCCTCCAGGTCATGGTGAGTTTAATGCAGTTTTGTATCATTTTTCTTTATATAACTTTATATTATTGGAATTGTAATTTATCATATTTTAATAGTTTTATATTTCTTCATGTTTCTTATTTAATGATTATCTTTGAATTGGACACTTAGATTATTTCTTGTTCTTCATTAAAAACTATGCTCTTTGTACATCTTTGGGCATAAATTTGTGCCTTCCTAGTTATATTTATTTAATTATTATTATTATCAGGACTTTGGTTTACATAATAGATTATACCCTTTAGTTCATGAGTCCTTATCAGTCTCCAAGCTCTTATTTTATTTTTCTCTTAATCTTCTTCTACATCCCTCTCATTCTCTTCCTATCCATAGATCTTCACTCTGGTGTGCTTAAGACATGTTTATCTAGTTTACCTTCAAGTTATCTTGTTTGTTTTAGACAATGATTTCTTATTGGGCATACTCCCCCACCAAAGATAACCATCACCATGAATTTCATGTTTATATGTTTTTTTTAAATTTCCTTTTAATAATATTGCCTGATACTATGATTTATACATTTTGACCACTTTGTAAAATGCCATTATTTAGATAGTTTACAATTGAATCATATATTTTCTTAATGGGCATATGATTGCTTCCAGATTTGCTATTATGAACAGTGTGGTGAACATTTGCTTATATGTCCCTGTGGGAGTGGACATGGAGGACAACAAAGTATATGAATGTGACCTTTTAGTTGATAATGTAAAACTTATCCACAGTAGTGTATCAATTTCCACTCCTACTAGTTCAGTATAAGAGATCCTGTGGCTCTACGTCCTCTCCAACCCTTGATATTATCGGGCTTTTTAACCCTGACCTTGGAAAGGAAGTGCAATGATGTTTCATATTGTATCAAAACTTAAAAATATTTACTCTTTATATTTAAATCATTAACCTGTATGATGTTTTCTGTTTTTTTCTAATTTTTTAATAGTATGAATTATGGATCCAATGTCTTCTTTTTTCTATATGGATAACTACTTTTTTTTTAGCTTCATTTAATGAACAATTCCTCCTTTCTTGCTTATTGGCAATGCCACCTCCATCATATATACCAATTCTCCATACATGTGTGGGTCTATTTCTGGGCTTTCTGTTTATTTCACTGGTCAGTTTATCTCTACCTAAACCAATATTATTGTTGCTGTTGAGTTGACTCTGACTAACAGTGACCCTATGTGGAAAAGAATGAAACGTTGCCAGGTCCTGCACCTCACAATAGTATGTTTGTTTGCGCCCATTGTTGCAGCCACTGTGTCAATCCATCTCTTTGAGGGTCTTCCTCTTTTTCGATGACCATCTACTTTATCAAGCATAATGTCCTTATCCAAGGATTGGTCCCTCCTGATAACATGTCCAAAGTAAATGAGATAAAGTATCTTTATACTTGCCTTTAAGGAGCATTTTGGCTGTACTGCTTCCAAGAGAGATTTGTCTGTTCTTCTGTCAGGCCATGGTATATTCAATATTCTTCACCAACACCATAATTCAAAGGTATCAATTCTTCTTCAGCCTTCCTTATTCATTGTCAAGCTTAAATATGTGCATGAGACAGTTAAAAATATGATGGCTTGGGTCAGGTGCACCTTTGTCCTCGAAGTGACATCTTTGCTTTTTAAGATTTTAAAGAGGTCTTTTGCAGCAGATTTGCCAGATGTTGTATGCTTGGTTTCTTAACAGCTGCTTCCATGGGTGTTGATTGTTGATCCAAGTAAAATGAAATTCTTCACAACATCAATATTTTTTCCATTTATCATGTTGTTTATTGATCCAGTTTTAAGGATTTTTGTTTTCTTTACGTTGATGTGTAATCCATACCGAAGGCTGTAGTCTTTGATCTTCATCACTAAGTGCTTCAAGTCGTCTTCACTTTCTGTAAGCAAGGTTGTGTCATCGGCATATCATAGGTTGTTAATGAGTCTTCCTCTAACCCTGATGCCCCATTCTTCTTCATATAGTTCAGCTTCTCAGAATTTTGCTCAGCATACAGATTGAATAAGTATGGTGAAAGAATACAACCCCAACTTACACATTTTCTGATTTTAAACCACACAGTATCCCCTCGTTCTGTTTGAATGACTGTCTCTTCGTCTATGTCTAGATTCTGCATGAGCACAATTAAGTGTTCTGGAATTCCCATTCTTTACAATGTTATCCATAATTCGTTATGATCCACTCAGTTGAATGCCTTTGTATAGTCAATAAAACACAGGTAAACATCTTTATGGTATTCTCTACTTTCAGCCAAGAACCATCTGATATCAGCACTGATATCCCTCATTCCATGTCCTCTTCTACATCTGGTTTGAATTTCTGGCAGTTCTCTGTCAATGTACAGCTGTAGTTATTTTTGAATTATCTTCAGCAAAATTTTGCTTGCAAGTTATATCTATGATATTGTTCAGTAATTTCCACATTCTGTTAGATCACCATTCTTTGGAATGAGCAAGAATATGATTCTCTTCCAATCAGTTGGCCAGGTAGCTGTCTTCCAAATTTCTTGACATAGGTGACTCATATGCAAGTTCAACTTGAAGCTAAGGAAAATTAAAATAAGTCCGCAAGATCCAATGTACAACCTTGAATATGTTCCAGCTGAAGTTAGAGACCTCAAGAGTGGATTTGATGCACTGAACTCTAATGACTGAAGACCAGAGTAGCTGTGGGATGACTCAAGGACATCATATATGAAGAAAGCAAAGGATCAAGAAAGAAAGAAAAGACCAAAATAGATGTCAAAAGATACTCTTAAACTTGCTCATGAGCACAGGGTAGCTAAAGTGAATGGAAGAATTGATGAAGTAAAAGAGCTGAACAGAAGATTTTAAAGGGCGATGCGAGAAGATAAGGTAAAGTACTATAACAAAATGTACAAAGAGCCAGAAGTCAACATTTCTCAAGCTGAAAGAACTGAAGAAAAAATTCAAGCCTCAAGTTGCAATACTGAAGGATTCTATTGGCAAAAAATTGAATGACGTAGGAAGCATCAAAAGAAGATGGAAGGAATACAGAAAGTCACTGTATCTAAAAGAACTGGTCAATGTTCAGCCATTTCAGGAGGTAGCATATGATCGAGAACCGATAGTACTGATGGAAAAAGTCCAAGCTGCATTGAAAGCATTGACAAAAAACAACACTCCAGGAACTGATGGAATACCAATTCAGATGCTTCAACAAATGGATGCAATGCTGGAAGAATCACTCGTCTATGCCAAGAAACCACTACTACACTGTTTTTATTACTATAGTTTGATAATAAGTTTTCTTATCTAGTAGACGTCCTGGATATTCTCAGACTTTTATTCTTTCATATATATTTTAGAATTTTCAAGTTGTATGAAAAACCATGTTGAGATTTTGATTGGAATTGCTTGATTCTCTAAATCAATCAATTTGTGGAGATTCGACATCTTCGTAATAGTAAGTCTTCCTAATCATAACTAGGAGTCCCTGGGTGGTGCAAACAGTTAAGTTCAGAACTACTAACTGAATGAATGATTGGTGATTTGAGTCCACCTAGAAGTGCCTTGGAAGACAGACTGGGTGATCTGCTTGTAAAATGTCACTGCTTGAAAACCCTATGGAACAGTTCTTCTCTGGACACATGGGTTGCAAGAGACAGAATCAACTGGACAGCAACTAACAACAATCGTAATTATGATATATTTATATCAATAAATACCTCTGTATAGATATGTATATATCCATTTATTCTGTCTCCCGTATCTCCTAATAAGATTAAAACATTTTCTTTGACAAATTCTTTCAAATATTTTATCAAATTTATTTTAAAATACTTGATACCATATTCTCTAATACTATTGTAAACAATACCTTATCTTTAATGAGATATACTAGTTCACTTCAGATATATAGAGTTTCCATAAACTTTAATTTTTAATTTGATAAGATTTCTAATTTAAGTATTTAAAGCTATATATTTCCCGTGAAGTGGTACTTTGACTGCACTACATAGATTTTTACATGCAATGTTTATAATTGCATTGGAGTTTTTATTTTTAATTTTCCATTATGATTTCTTCTTTAACCAATCATTTATTTTGAAAAAGTATTCTTTAATTTCAAAATATAAAGAGATACTAAATTTTTTTATTATTAATTTTTCAGTTTTTTGTGTTGTGATGGTTAGAAATTATGATGTGTTAAAACATATTGTTTAAAACTTAATCTGTCTGTATGGCCTAGTGCATGATCATACCCGAAAAACCAAAACCAAACCCGTTGCTGTCAAGTCGATTCAGCTCATAGTGACCATATAGAACAGAGCAGAAATGCTCCTTAGGGTTTCCAAGTAGCAGCCGGGATGGTGGATTCAAACTGCAGACCTTTTGGTTAGCAGCTGAGCTCTTAACCACTGCGCCACCAGGACTCCAGTGCATGATCATAATACATGATTATTTTTTTAAAGGATTCCAAGTGTGCTTGAGATAAAAGATGTATTTTTTTACATTAGCTATAGAACTCTTTATATATTCATCATTTCAAGCCTATTAATTTTTTAATTAAATTTTCTATAATATTTTTGGCTTTTTAATACCTTAATCATTTAATAATCAAGAGAGATCTTTTGAAATCTTTTATTATGATGGTGAGTTTATCACTTATTTTCTGAAGTTAAATTAATTTTTGCTTCATGTACTTTGAAAATATCACATGCATGATTAAATTGCTTAATATTTTTACTAAAATGGACTTTTATAATGTAGTAACCTTCTCCATTATTAATAATTCTTTTTATCATAGCGTTTATTATTTCAGTTTATGTTAAAATACTAATCCCTGATTTCTGTTTTAAATTAGTATCTGCATTATTTAAAAAATATTTTATTTCAACATTATGTGTCCCTGTGCTTTAGACATATCTCTTGTGAATATTATATTCCTGGATTTTTAAAATTTTAACTCTTATTCTTTGTCTTTTAAGTAGTGAAGTTAGTGTATTTACATTT